GGTGATTGTGCCCCTGCACTGGGCATTGCTGAGGCCACACCTGGAGCACTGTGTGCAGACAAGAACAACACTGAGTTGCTGAAGCGTGTCCAGAGAAGAGCTGCCAAGCTGGTAAAGGATCTGAGGAGAGGCTGAGGGAATTAGGATGATTTAGTTGGAGGAAGAGGAGGCTGAGGGGAGACCTCATTGCTCTCTACAACTGCCTGAAAGCAGGTTGAAGGGAGGTGGAATTTGGCCTCTTCTCCCAAGTAAATAATAATAGGACTTGAGGAAATGGCCTCAAGTTATGCCTGGGGAGGTTCAGACTTCATATTAGGAAAAATTTCTTTACCCAAAGAGTGGTCAGGCACTGGAACTGCCCAGGGAGGTGGTGGAGTCACCATCCCTGGAGGTATTAAAATACCATGTAAATGAGGCACTTCAGGACATGTTCTGCTGGGCATGGTGGGGTTTTCTGGGTTGATGGTTGGACTCAGTGATCTTAAAGGTCTTCTCCAACAATGACGATTCTGTGGAACAGGAATCTGTTCTCCAGTACTTCCCAATTATTGATCAACAATGAATGCCTCTGTGCAAAATGAATTTCAGAAAGATACACTTCGAAATAAAACACTTGAAAAGGGTGTCCTTTTCTATCTTTCTTCTGGTCCTGAGTTCAATTATCTGTTCCCTGAAGACAACACTAACCTCTTCTTTTACTGTTCCACACATGGCTCATGTACTGTCCTGCAGAATTACAAACTCCAATAATTGATTTTTATGGAAAGAAGTCTCCAACGTTACAGAACTAGAAAGAAGCTGACACCTCTGCTTGCAGGCAGAACTTTGGGGCAGGACTTTTTGCACTGGGGCAGGAGTTTTTGCACAGGCATGTAGCAAGAGGACAAGGGGCAATGGTTTAAAACTTGAAGAGGGAGATTTAGATTAGATATTAGGAGGAAATACTTCACTCTGAGGGTGGTGAGATGCTGGAACAGGTTGCCCAGGGAGGTTGTGGAAGCCCCATCCCTGGCAGCGTTCAAAGCCAGGTTGGATGGGGCTCTAAGCTGATCTAGTGGGAGGTGTCCCTGCCCACGCACGGGGGTTGGATCTGGATGATCTTTAAGGTCCCTTCCACCCAAACCTTTCTATTATTCTATGATATGTTCAGAGAAAAACTCTAAGGCAAACAGGTGCTTAAAATCAAGGTCCAAGTTCCCAACACCGGGCATACGATCTACTCACAAGCACAATCTGGAAACACCAAAGGAAAAGGAGAGGTTCCCAACTTCTAGGTCCTCTCTTTTGTCAGGACATCATTACCTACCTCCCCCAGCACCTGCTTCAGTAATGTGGCAGAGACCCAGAGCAACACCAGCTTTCTGCTCCCCAGCACGGAATGCCCTGTTTTCTCACCTTTCCCAGAGCTAACTGGCTCAGTGAAGAGCTGCTTCACCAAACTGATCTGTTTCTTCTCCCCCAGTGCTGCACCCACAACCTCTTCAGCTGTCCCAGGCCCCGCCCAGCTACTGCATGTCCTCTTCCCACGGCCACCACCTAAACCACAGAATAACTGGTGGTTAGAGGATGTTGCTGTCTCAGTTTTTCTCAGTTCAGCCAGCAGATGCTAAGCAGAGGAAAACCCATGCTCAGGGAAGTAGGGTCTTTGCTAGGTTTAATCTCCAAACCAAGAAGATGGAACCAGCAGCCAAGCATGGTGGCTAATGCAATTGCTGAATGGAGGATTGCAGAAAATCCTCTGGGCTTCTGCCCCTTAGTATTTTCCTGGAGTTCTAACACAGGTAAAAGACATGAATACGACGGCATTTCTGAAATCCCTGAGCAGGCACCAGGGAACCCAAAGAGTATGTTGAGAAAAAGAATACTTTGTGCAAGCAACAGGTGAAGGTGGTTCAGAGGCCAAGCTAAAGCCACCAAAACCACACTTGCATGCTAGTTATACACCCATTTTGATCCAGTGACCAGATGCACGAAGCTACAAAGTTAAGGCCATCTACATGGAGAAAGAGAACTAACACTCAGCCTTACACTCTCCAGTTCTCAGGCTTTGTGCCAATTACTCTGAACAGGGCCAACACCACTGTGCTCCCATGGGAACGGGGCTACAGGGGACTTGAGTCACACCTTCCATTCACTAGGGTGAGTTTTCTACTCCATGATGAACTGACTGTGAAAGAGTTCTCATTGGGCATGAGAAGATGTCATGGTTAAACAAATGACTGCAGAGGGTTAGGAGACACAAGAATACAGCTCAGCACACTGGCCTGTAATTGCACAGGTAAGATAGTGGTGTGATTATAGGTTTCCTGGACCTGTAAAATGGGCTTGTGATACTATCTTTTTTAAGGGTGTGACAAGAAACTTTTATTTAACAAGTCTCTGGATCAAAACAGCTGTAAAATTAACAAGTAGGACCAGGCCTGTGGAAACTCTCCAGCTGAAGCAGTGCTTGGATGGGAAAGAAAAAAATTAGGTTGACTAGGAGTGGTGTGGCAAGAGGAAGGGGAGTCACAAAAGCACAGAACTGATGCTGAAAGGGACCTCTGGAGATCATCCAGCCCACTTCTGCTATTGAAGCAGGGTGAGCTACAGCCAGCTGCGGAAGGCTGTGTCCAGCTGGGTTTCAAGTATCTCCACAGGTGGAGACTCCACTCCCTCTCTGGGGAACATGACCACCCTCACAGTAGAAAACTTTTCTGATGTTCAGAAGGAGTGTTTGTGCCCATTGTCTCTTGTCCTTTCAGTAGGCACCACAGGGAAGATTTTGGCTACTTCTTCTTCCTGCTCATGCCTTGCACTGGGGAGCCTAGAACTGGGCAGCCCTAGTCAATGCAGGACACAGGTGTAATCTCCAGCTTCACACTCCAGATATGTCTAAGTCACTGCCTGAAGGAGAACTGTCTCCAGCCACGACTTGAAGATCACCAAGGAAGAAAAGTAAGTCACTTGTGTTTTAATGGTTACCTACAGCACCTTAGTTCCCGCATGAGTAGAGGTAACTAAGATGCTTACAAAAGTTCAGGATAAAATCCATGGAATTTATGGAATGCACACTAAATGTATTGTTTACAAAGAAGAGATATAGGCACCAATTTTGTATTGTGATGAAATTATTAATTAAAGAATCATTTACACATTTGTGTTTACATGAAAATGCTGGTAGAAATTTTTTTTCATTATTAAAAATATTCTCAAAGCACAACTCTGAATCATTTCAACTTCTATAAACTTTTCCAAGCTTTCCTTGTATCACAGAGAATCTAGAGAAGGAACATCTTTCTAGTCTAGAGAGGTCTGCTTCTGGTTTTTGTGCAGCCACTTTTTAAAAAAAAGATGTCAAAAACAACTCACCTGCACTTTTACCCCACTTTCTAAGCTTAAAACCACTGTAAACTTGACTAAACTATTTCAAAAGATGACCTCTTCCATCAGTAACTAGGAAAACTTTTCATTTAATTGAAGACCACTTGGAAGAGTATTCAAGATCATAAATCATAGAATCATAGAGTTGTTAAGGTTGCAAGGGACCTTAAAGATCATCCAGTTCCAACCCCCCTGCCATGAACAGGGAATCACTAGACCAGGTTGCACAAAACCTCGTCCAATCTGGCCTTTAAAAACCTCCAGGGCTGGGGCATCAACAGCCTCCCTGGGCAACCCATTCCAGTTCCTCACCACCCTTGTAGTGAAGAATTTCTTCCTAATATCTAATCTAAATCTCGTCTCTCTCAGTTTAAAACCATTACCCCTTGTCCTACCACTATCTTCTCTGATGAAAAGCCCCTCCCCAGCTTTTCTGGAACCCCTTCAAGTACTGGAAGGTGCTCTAAGTGAGACTTACTTTCTAGTCTTGACAATGGCTGACAATGTGGTAATCCTAAATTATTCACCAGCAAAACTTATTTTGCAGCAGATCATACCAACTATTGACTAAGCTGCATAAAGCATCACCAGCTCAGGACCTTTATGAAACTCAATGAACTCTGCAGAATTTTTAGCCAGGCCTCTGTCATAACCCCTAAATTTTCTTTACTGAAGGGTAATATGCAAAACACTCCAATGGCTCTGGTCAGAAAGAAGCAGGTACAAATGTCTCTACATGGCACTCACCTACAACTACCTGAAAGGAGGTTGTAGGGAGGTGGGAGCTGGTCTTTTCTCTCAAGTGAATAATAACAGGATGGGAGGAAATGGCCGGAGGTTGTGCCAAGGGAGGTTTAGACTGGATATTAGAAAGAATTTCTGTACTAAAAGAGTGGTTGGACACTGGAACAGGCTGCCTGGGGAGATGGTGGAGTCACCATCCCTGGAAGTGTTTAAAAGAAATAGACATGTGGTGCTTAGGGACATGATTTTAGCACTGAACGGGTAGATTAGGTTATGGTTGGTGGATTTAGGTTATGGTTGGACTTGATAATCTTCAAGATCCTTTCCAACCAGGATGATTTTGTGATTCTGTGAAAAGATAGTCCTGAACCCAGAGCTGTGGTCAATGACATGCAGACATTGATGTGGTGATGCAGAGCTGATGGTGAGGTCAGACAACTCAGCCCAATCTAATGCATCTTACTCAGGCTTGTCTGTCAGGTGCAAATCTCAGATCCCCATTACCCAAGATAAATGAGAATTAACTGTATTTGGGTAGTTGAAACACAATCTCTGCTGCACTCAACCCTGAAACAGCAAGTAACGTACAATAGAAAACAAACCACTTTCTAAAACACAAGCATAAACCTCATCTAGGGCCTACTCATTTTAAGTATAAGAAGTCACATTGCCTATAATTAGACCTTAAGGGTAGGGTTTGTGTTCTGTACTCAACACACTTCTTTAGCCAGTACACACAACTAGAAAGAAAGAGCTGAAAAATGTACCTCAGCAGACTTTATGACCTGTAGTTTCTGCAGGCCTCTTCAGTCACCCACTGGCACAGACAATAAAGGCAGCTTTTGGACCCAGCATTATCTCTAAAAAAGCCCAAACAGTACTAAAGAACTTACCTCTCAAAGGCACATCGAAAGATAACCAAGATCAAAGCAAAAGGGATACTGAGAAGGAGATCATGAGGCTGAGGGTACTGGATGTCTTCAGACTCTTGCATGTCCTCCCAGGTGATTCCTGGGGGCAGCCAGAACTCATGCTGCCACAGCCACTCATTCAGAGAGCGAGCCATCCTGGAAGGGAGAGAGAAGAAACTGAGGACAGCCTGGCACCCAGCAAACCTGTCAGCACAAGCCAGTAAAGGAAATGAAGGATTACACCCTCACTGAGGTTGCAACTGGTTATGAAAGCAGAAGAGGTGTGGAAATCATCAGTGCCCAAGGAACTGATAACCTGCTCACAGGTTTTATCGGGCTTGGTGACTGCTGATTCCTGGGGCAGAACCAAAAAAGGGCTAATGTGGAGATAAGTGTTGCAGAATTCAACAAACATTAGTGTCATTCTCAGCAAGATGTATTGTAAAGTTTTAAGTTTCAGACTGCAGCTTCTCAGGTTCAGAAGTTCCTTTCTACAGGGCTGACCCCTTAGAATCATGAGGACACAGCAAGTCTGCTGTCCTTTTATATCACAGAATCCCAGACTGGTTTGAGTTGGAGATCATCTAGTTAAAGATCATCTAAAAATCATCTTAAAGATCATCTAGTTCCAACCAACCCCCTGCCCCACCAGACCAGGTTGCTTCAAGCCCCATCCAGCCTGCCCTTGAACACTTGAAGATGGGGCAACCACAGCTTCTCTGGGTAACTTGTGCCAGTGTACACACACGTATGTATCCTTATTTTTTAGTCTTTGATCTTCTGTATTTATTTATTTCTATTTACACATTGCAATTGCACTGTGTGCATGTGTGTATGTGTGCATTAGAACTAATATGAGCTTGAGACTTCACTTTTGGGAAAAAAAAATAAATAAAATAAAAAATGGAAAAAAGATCTAACTTCTGTTTTAAATGATTAAGGAAAGCACAAATATTCTTACCTGGAAGTACTCACTGGTAAACTGGATTCTTAATGTAATTTTAAAACCATGCCTGGAGGTGGGATTTACATACTTGATCAGAGAATTTAGCAGCATAAAAGACAGTGGAAAGGGTGTAACAAAGTATTCAACATGAAAATACTGTTGCTAGATAATTCTACCTCATACACAAATACAAGCTGCACTGCCAAAACCAACTGTAACTGGTAACAACAAATATCTCAAACACAAGACTGAAGTAAAAAAGACCCTGTGTAGGCACAGCATAAGGAAAGAGGAAGTGTGGGAATGAGATGCCCATTGAGATAATCTGAACAGCACACAGGAAATGCTTCTTACAAAATCAAGGGAAAAAGCATGTAATTTAAGTGTCCTGAGTATCATAAAGGATCTCACCTAGCAGAGGCCCAAGCCCTGGCCCATTTTCTGCAAGGAGAACTGCCTAACAGATTAAAAAAAGAATAATCAATTTGATTATGATACCTTTAATTCAGCCATAGTTTCTTTGTCAGTTAAACTGAAGATCGGCCTTATTCTAGACTGTTGCAGAGTCTGAGGAATATTGTCCAATTCTCTTTTCTTGATTTGGACTTTCTTATTCATCCTGATGTGTCTTTTGATCTGACAGCAATAGAGAAGAAGAGGACCCTATTTTGTCAAACTTGACTCAGTTCTCCATTGCATGCACAGCCAATTCACAAAGCTGATTACAAATACATGTATAATTGGTTCCAAGTGCATGCTGGCTTTCTCAGTATTTAAGATATAAGAAGCAGGAAAACACTCTTCTCTTTTCCCCAAAGAAAAAGGAAAACCATCTCACTAAAAATGCATTCTTCTCCTTCCCTCATTCCCTGATTTCAGCTTTTGATAAAAAAAATCCACTATATAAAATTACCTCCTAAAAAACTGTAGAACTGCAACCAAAATAAGTGGCAGTAAGGCCAATATCAAGCTTCAACAGCACAAAAAAACCCAGCCAGGTCTTTTACCAGCTTTCAGTTTGACTATAATCACAGGATTTTTTTATTGGTCCAGCTTCTGGCACTGCTGTTTTGCTCACACTTCCAAGCTGTTCTCCATTCCTTCTCCTAGCTCTCCTTCCAGTGCCATGAGTGAATAAAAATCATTGGCACATAAAATGAAGACAAACAGGGCTTGTAGACTCTTCAAATTCTCTTTTAAGTGCCTGACAATCAAGATGCAACAGTTTTTAAGTTGCCTGCCAAATCTTGAGTCTCTACAACTCTCAGGGGCCTAGAGTACAGCCTAGGTGTCCCTCCCCTTGGCAGGGAGTTGGAACTAGGTGATCTTTAAGGTCCTTTCTAACTCAAACCATTCTATGATTCCAACTTCAAGGCTGTTTTAAGATGAGAACATCTGCTACCCACTATCTGTCCCCTCTTCTTCTGGCAGGGCTGTGGGATCCTTTAGCTCTAGTTCCCTTCCCCTCTTGCCTTTGGTGACTCAGCAAAGGCAACTGAAGCCAGGAGCATTGGAGAGGAGTGACAGGGCTCGTGGGGCTTTAAAAAGAGTGAAGCCAGCTGGAGCACATGTACACACATACTAGAGAAATCTTTGCAGGCTGCTCAGTGAACACTCTTTTAACCAGTATAGCTCCATTTGGGTGACACAGACATAAGCCCATGGGACAGGCTGGCTACTGGGATGAATCACAGAATCATCAAGGTTGGAAAAGACCTTCAAGTCCAACTATCCACCCTACAAGCCCTAACCACTAAACCATCTCCTGAAACACCACATCTACCCCTTTTTTGAACACCTCCAGAGATGGTGCCCCCACCACCTCCCTAGGCAGCCCGTTCCAAGGCCCCACCACTCCTTCTGTGAAGACATTTTTCCTAATATCCAGCCTGAACAGCAGCTTGACCCCATTTCCTCTTGTCCTGTTGCTGGTCACCAGGGAGAAGAGCCCAACACCCACCTCACCACAACCTCCTCTCAGGTAGTTGTAGAGGGCAACGAGGTCTCCCCTCAGCCTCCTCTTCTCCAGGCTGAACAGCCCCAGCTCCCTCAACTTCTCCTCATAAGACCTGTTCTCCAGACCCATAATCAGCCTTGCTGCCCTTTTCTGCCCCCTCTTCAGCCCCTCAATGTCCTTCCTATCCTATGGTGCCCAAACCTGCCCAAACTTGCACACAGGCCTGAAGGTGCAGCCTCACCAAGGCTGAGTAGAGGGGCAGGATCACCTCCCTGGTTTTGCTGGTCACACTGTTCCTGAAGCAAGCCAGGATGGTGTTGGCCTTCTTGGCCACCTGGGCACATGCTGGCTCATGTTCAGCTGCTGTCAGTCAGCACCCCCAGGTCCCTCTGCTGGGCAGCTCCAGCCACTAATTAACCTCAGGCTCTCTGTGAACCATGTTTTCAGGTTGTCCCTGTGTCTCTTGTAGACTGTGCAAACACAGGTTTCTGCACAAGACTTTGCAGTCACAGAGCAGAAAACGTCTGTGTAGGAGAGAACTGTGTGAGTACAGGCTTAGCTTACAATGAATTCAATGCACCGTCACTTGAAGCGTGGTGACAGTGCCTCAAAGCAGCTTGTGCACTTCAGATAGGTACTGGGCACTGGCTTAAGAAAGTCAGACAACCTAAATAAAGTGTCCGGATTACAAAGAACTTTACAAGGCATGAAAGACACCAACTTCAAAATTGTTGGTAAACTTCCTTAACTGTTAAAAATCTCAGCTCTAGTCCTGACTAGAGCATCAGGACATCAGGAATACCCAGGAGAACTATAGAAAGAAATTCCACTTCCTCCTTGCTTCAGCTGTTCAGAAACCACGTGTCCAGTGCCACAGGGTTCTCCCACAGTGCAGACAGCAGGCGTGCTAAGGAAAGCTGCCACACTAGACAGCTTTGCAATTACAAAATCAGGGATTCTCCCTTCAAAACTCTATATATTTGGCAGCAACACAAAAAGATGGAACAGACACTTGGCAGAAGCCAGCAGATGAGCTCTGCCGAGGGCTCTCTCTGGGGAGTTCATAAAACAAGCATTCCAGTTTGCTTAGGGGGAATATGATTAGATTCAAAGTGCTTAGGAAGTAAACAGCCATTAACTAATCTACTCTCATCTGCAAATTATATATAGTCAGGATCATCTTCCTGGAATATCTCTTTCTGCAGTTAACTTTAAACAGAGAAAAGGGCCCAGTTTGAAGCAACATATTTATCTTTTGCAATTTATACAGGCCAAGTTCCCAAACAAAGCAGCTTAAAAGCTGAAAACAACAGTCTAAAACGCCCTTTGAGCACCCACACAAAAGCTAAACGGCCCAGTTCTTCCCCACAAGTTCTTCATGCCTTACAGAGCACCCTGTGTTATTAGTTGTAGCCTTGTAATAATAGACAGGATGAAGCCCTGCAGCTCTGAAGGCAAGTTTAACAGAGACAAGCCTTTCACACAGGGAGTTCAGAAAGAACAAAAGCAAAACCCAACACTGCAAAACACTCTCCCAGGCCTGACACTGAACAGATCAGCATCAGGATTTCATATACAGCAAACAAAATAGTAAATGCTGGAATAATTGCATTAAATTTGTCAAAGAATATACACATAGAGATGAAATGAAGAAGTATCACAAAACCATCATGCACTAATATAGATCAGGGGTTGACCTGCTGAAAAGCAGCCCCATGTAGAAGGACCTTGGGGTCCTGGTTGACAACAAGTTCTCCATGGGACAGCAACGTGCCCTTGTGGCCAAGAGAGCCAATGGCATATTGGGGTGCATTAAGAACAGTGTGGCCAGCAGGTCAAGGGAGGTTCTCCTTCCACTCTACTCTGCCCTCCTAAGACCACATCAGAAGCATTGTGTCCAGTTCTGGGCTCCTCAGTTCAAGAGGGACAGGGATCTACTGGAAAGAGTCCAGTAGAGGCCACGAGGATGATGAAGGGACTGGAACACCTGCCTGATGAGGAAAGGCTGAGAGACCTGGGGCTGTTCAGTCTGGAGAAGAGAACACCAAGAGGGGACCTGATGAATGTCTATAAATATCTGCAGGGGGGTGTCAAGAATGGGCCAGTCTCTGTTCAGTGGTGCCTGTGACAGGACGGGGGAAACAGCACCAAGTGACAACACAGGAAGTTCCACCTCAACATGAGGAGAAATTTCTTTGCTGTGAGGGTGAGGGAGGCCTGGGACAGGCTGCCCAGAGACGTTGTGGAGTCTC